CTCCTCCTCCTCCTCCAATTAGTTTGTTTAGGAAAGTTTAGCCTCTAAGACAGTGATGTTGAACCTTTTTGGCACCACATGCCCAAACTGGAAAGTGTGTGCACATGCGCACCCTAGAGCACTAGAAACCCAAAGACCAGTTTTCTGGTCCGCACAGGCATACCAGCCAGCTGGTATTCGCATATGCCACAATGCTGGAAACCCCAAGAGCAGGTGGCCAGCATGCACATGTGCATTGTCCAGCTGGTCTTCGGGCTTCCAGCGCTCTGGTGCACGCAAAGGCCAGCTGGACAGTGCGCATGCTGGAAACTAGAAGAGCAACTGGGGATGGTGCACGTGCCCACAGAGAGGGCTCTGCATGTCACCTCTAACCCGCGTGCCATAGGTTCGCCATCAAGGCTCTAAGATCATTCTTGATGTCTGCAAAATCACCTCAAGCTCCATGCATTTAGAAGATCTAAATGCAATTAGATCTTTACAGGCAGCTCGAGTGGCTTACTTGGGGATGGGATGTCTTCCCTTAGTATACCTCCACCAATAGTCCTGTGAAATAGACTGGGCAGAGAATGAGGGACCCAAAGGCATCAGGTTCTGGTGGGGATCTGAACTTGGATCTCCAAGTCCATATCTAACAATCTGAACGATTCCCCTATCCTGGCTGTAGCGATCAATCCAAAATTAGATTAATCCCCATATAACTTACCTGGTGGCCCTGGAGGTCCAGGTTGTCCTGGAATGCCACTGATCCCTGGATCACCTGTAGATCCAAAAGGTCCACTTGGCCCCGGAAAACCAATGCCAGGTAGGCCAACTTCACCATACTTCCCTTTTTGGCCAGGTAATCCAGGGAAACCTTTATCCCCTGGGAAGCCAAATCCATCATCACCCTAAATGGACAGAGATACAAAAAACAACCAAGGGAGAAATCCCCATATCAAGAACGATGATGAGCAAAGTCATCAAGAGAAATGACTCTTGGTTTGGAAGCAAATGGAGGGACAGGAAGAGAAAGAGGGGATGTCATGCAGGCGTCCTTTTTAAGCTGAGAGGAATTGAAGATATATGTGGAACATCATCCTTGCAGAACTAATAAGGTTGCCCCCCTCCCGACATTCATTCAAAAACATGAAGGAGATGGTTTTGCCAGCAGGCCAGAGGGGTATCATGATGCTTTGTCAACCATGAAAGATAGGGAAGGGCTTTTGACTATACAGGTAGTCCTCACTTAGTGACTTCTTGTTCAGCAACCATTCGGAGTTACAACAGGGTTCAACAAGAAGACTTACGGCCGGTCCTTGGAAGTTGTGGCTGCCGCAGTGTCCCCACAGTCACAATCATGAATTGGGGCACTTGGCAACTGGCACACAGTTACAATGGTCACAGCTTCCCACAGTCACATCATCCCCACTTGTGATCTTCACTGCCAGCTTCCAATAAGTCAAGTCAATGAGGAAACCAGCCACCACCTGACGATGTGCTTAATGACTGCCCAGGATTCCTTAACAACCACAACCTGAACTATCATTGTACACGGAAGATTGCATTTAATTTCGTTGCACAAGGTGCAATGACGATAAAAAAAACTAACTAACTAAAGGCTCTGAGAGTTGATAAAGCCCACCTCTAAGGAAGCTGAATCTGCACCTCCGGCTTGGAGTTGGGTCTGAACTGGTGAAAGAAGTAAGGCGGTCTCCAAGCCCTCCAGAAATATGGCAGATCCCTGATGCTGCAGTTATCTTTACCATATATACATATCATTCCTTGTGTGTCCAATCACACTTGGCCAATAAAGAATTCTATCTATTTGCTTCCTGGTATGGTAGGTCAAGGGACATGGTAGCTCAGTGACAAAAACACTGAGCTTGTCGACCAGAAAGTTTGGCAGTTCGGTGGTTGAATCCCCAGCGCCACATAACGGAGTGAGCTCCCGTTATTTGTCCCTGCTTCTCCCAACCTAGCAGTTCAAAGGCATGTAAAAAATGCAAGTACAAAAATAGGGACCACCTTTGGTGGGAAGGTAACAGCATTCCGTGCGCCTTTGGCATTTAGTTCTGCTGGCCACATGACCACAGAGACATCTTTGGACAGCACTGGCTCTTCGGCTTTGACACTGAGATGAGGACTGCCCCCTAGAGTCAGGAACAACTAGCACATATGTGCGAGGGGAATCTCTACCTTTACCTTATGATATGTAAGAAGCAGTCTGATAGGTGTGTGGGGTGGGGGAATCAATTATAAGTAGATGAAAAACTCTTGTAAGATAAGATTTGGGAAGGAGATGGTTCGTCATTATATCTTCTCCTACTCTGTTTCCCTGAAAAGAAGACCCCCCCCCCGATAATAAGCCCAATGAGGCTTTTGAGTGCATGCGCTAAAAAGGCCCTCCCCTTAAAATAAGCCCTCCCCCAAAATATTGCAACACAGCAGCAGCCATGAAGTGACCAGGGTCTCCGTCTCCTGCACCTCAAAAATAATAAGAACTCCCCGAAAATAAGCCCAAGTGCTTATTTCGGAGATCGAAAGAAAATAAGACCCTCTCTTATTTTTGGGAAAACACAGTAGGAATACCACTACATCTAATCTAAATGTCAGCCTTTTAATCTAGGCAGAAGAGAGTTTACAAAAGCTGAGGTCTTCTTTTGTCAAGGACCTGACAAGTTGTAGACAGTGACCCATATCATCAAACGAAAGCAACCTGGCCTCATAATCCATAGCCAGGATGACTGTCCTGGCTAGGAATTTGAAGTGATAGAGCTCAGCATCTCTGGATGCCAATTAGGGGAGACACAAGTGTATGTTTTATTGTAAGGGGCTCCAAGATGGACAAACATACCTGAAGACCACGTTGACCAGGGACACCTCTCACGCCATCCCTACCAGGAGTTCCAGGCTGCCCAGAAGGACCCCTGAGTCCAATATTCCCTTGATCCCCTCGTGGCCCTCTGCCTGAGGCTGAAGATGGTTCACCTTTTTGTCCTTTAAAGCCTGGGAGACCAGGTTGACCTACGAAGCCCTGGAAGACAAGCAGAGAGAGTTCAGCAAAAACGGATGATGCACTACTCATTAACCACGGGAGTGAATTGGTACAGTAGAGGCCAAAATTGTGGAAACCTTTTGGGAAAAGTGTATAGTATTGTTGAGGTTTGATGGCTAATAACATCAGGTGTTTTGGAGTAGTATCCTAAAATTATATATCAATGGATAATTTAATCAAGAATGTAATGCAATAACTTTTATGAATGATTTACTTTATCAATAGCAGTTATAAAGAAGGAAAGTGAAACACATAGAAAAAATGAGATATACAAAAATTATCGCCATAGAAAAAAAAATGAGAATTGTAACCAGGTCTACATCTTGGCCAAAATTAGGCTCATGTGGTGGGGGGAGGGTTTTAAAAGTACAATGACTATATATGTATACTTTTTTTGTTCTATTTTTTTAAAAAAGGAGGAGAATACATGTTAAAATTAAATATGTATATTAAAAGGAATTATAAATGCCATCAACATAAAATTGAGCTTGCTCAGAAGCTGAAATATATCACGTAAATGAGATGAAGAGTGGGAAATAGAGGAGAGAGAGGGATAGGAGAGAGGGCAGCGGGGGGGAAGAGAGGAGATAAATGAGGAGTGGAAAGGGGAGAGAGAAGAAAGAGAGAGGAAGGGGAAGTAGCAAAGGGAAGGATGACACAGGGAAGAAAGGAGGTAGGGAGGGGGANAAAGGGACTCACCCAAGATCACTCAAACTGGCTTTCTGCCCAAACATACTTAACTGGCTGCATGCCTAAAGCAGAATTAGATTTCACAGTCTTCCAATTCTAACCTAGCACATTTAATCACTCTGCCAAACTGGCTTTGCTAATGTTTTGCACTAGTGCTTAAAAAAACACTGACACTCTGATTATCAGTTTGACATCCAGCTTGTGCATTTTCACAGTCAGTGACTGCTGCTGATTGAAGAGGAATTTGAATTACATACTGAAACTTTTCCTTAGGGTTAAAATATGTGCCAACTGGATCATTCAATGTACAGCAGTGCCACTTGTGGTGGTATTTCTGCAGCACAGATAAGATTTATAAGCATGTAAGCTTCCCCCCATGTAAAATTTCATTTATCATGGATGCTGAAGATTCCTGCACAGAATGCTCTTCAAACTTAAAATTATGGTTTTACAATTCCTAGGGAAACAGTCTCAAACATGAGATTCTAGATTGCAACATCATTTTAACAAAAAGGTGAACTCCGAAGGACCCACTCAGGAAAAAAAAAACCTCTATGCAGTTTTGAGGGATAGCAAAGAAATTTGAGAAGGTTGGCAACATCTCTCAGGGGTAAAGGGAGATGATATATTTCTCAATTCATTTCTTTCCTTGAGGGCACACAAGTTGCTATGAAGTTCAACCACATCCTTCTTGTGGGCAAAGGTATTTTAAGGAAAGCATGAAAATAACCTACGTGTCACTTTCTAACTTTTCTGCACCTCTTTTCTGAACCTCTTGCTCGATGAAAGAAGAGAAGACTAGGAACATGGCAATCCTGACAGGGAGGATTTTGTGAGTCATTATTCATTTCCTTCCTGTGAACCCAGCCACCTATCAAAGCTGCCAAGGAAAAGCAAAACCTTCCAGGGACAGAGGGAGAAATTCTATTTCAAAATGAGCAATTAAATTATCAGAGTCTCTCCACTGGAAATCTGCAGTGGATGACTAACGGCTTGCCTTCTGCTCATTACTTTTATCAAAAGATGAATGGAAGTGCTTTGTGTTTTGTGATAACTGAAGTTTCCATTTTGCCTTTTCTATTTTTAAGAAGTAGTTACAGATCAAGAGAAAATGTTCTACATTAATAGAGCTGCATCAAGATATATCCTCCCTCAGTTGCCTTTCAGAAACCGATGAAAATGCCACATATTAGCACTCTTGCTTCACCCATAACATTTATAAGTGATTATAATTTCTTCATTATCTGGAATTGCATTAAATACTTTCGGAGCTGGGCAGAGCATGAAATAATCCACACTCCTTAAACAACTTGTTGTGGAAATAAGATGATATAGGATGGTGGTATGCATCAATTAATTAATATGCAAGTAAAAGAATTGCACACATATTTTATTTGGCATACTAGTTAATGATTCTGATGTAGTGATTGCAGTTGGATCCAGCCAAGTAGAACATTTGGAGAAAGAAGCTTTGTTATTTTAATTATTAGACCAAATATGATGGAACCAAAGAGGTTTATCAAATTGGAAGGAGAAAGGAATGGAAAAAAAAATGGGGATCCAATATTTTCCACCCAGCTACTCAATACAAAACTTCAGCTAACTCTAGTNGAATTAAGGCAGAGAAAAGATCTTTACAATTACAGACCACAAATGTACTAAGGAGCTGCTTCCCATATTCTGCCAAATGTCTCAAGGAGGTGCATATCCTCAACATTATTTTTGTACCATCCATTCTGGAGGCAACTTACGTTTGTCTGCCTTGGTGTTAAAATGCTCACCAGCCATTGACTTGGGTTGGCATTCATACAATTCATTGTTACTCATTGACAATAGAGTTAATGATATAGTTAATTTGCTTGGCATCCCCTATTTTAGGCAGAGCATTAGAGGCACACCGCCACCCTTTCAATCTCTGGGCCCAGTTTGTATCAAAGAGCAATCGCATATCACCTCAACTGTGGTTCCCATTACTTCTCTTGTTGTCTCCTCACTGTGCTTGAGAACTCCACAGTGGGATTCAAACATGTCAAATAAAATATCACCTTCTTCTTTCCCAGCTTCCTCGGCATTGGCAACTCATCTCAAAGCTCCCAGGGCTATAGAGATGGGGAAGTAATTTTTTTTCTCATCACATAGAGATGAGCCGTGGGTTTGGAGGCCTGGAAGAGTTGTCTCTTTGCAACCTGTGCCTGTCAGGAAGCCCAGAAGGGGCTGGCATCTACTTTCCTTTCGGAAAAGAAATACTAAGGCTTGTTTAAAAACAGCTCTGAAAAGAGTTGACAGCAACAACTAGGCAGGGAAGAGGTAAAGCAGCCCTCAATGTCAGATGCTTCTGGAACCTCTTTTTTAGCACTTTGCTCAATGATTTGTATTTAAATGCAGCCTGAAAACAGCAGAAACCAAAGAAACTATATGTCAAAGAAAGTTTTCCCTTGCTTTATTGGGCTATGGCAACAGTAAAGTCAAAGGGAGATTAAAGTGTCTGATCCATGGGGTGGTTGGGAAACCAGCTTTTGCCACAATCCATGGCACAATCTCATGATTTGAAGGGTGGTTTAAGGTTTCCTGCCAGTATTCCCACCCACTTTATTGGTGCACTGGACTGGATCTCTGGATCAGGCTGCCCAATTCCTCTCTGGCAACAGAACAGCAAGCCAGTGGACAATATATGCCTTTCCAGTCAACACAGAGACTGGCATAATGCATAATAATGTGGCAGTGAGGAGGAACTCAATATTTTATAACCTAACAGGGAACATTTTTTCCTCGCAACACTACCTATATTTGAACACAGATTAGAGTCAAAGGATACATTTCACACCCACAAAAAACTAAAGCTGGGAAGAAGACATACATTTCTGACCCCTTCATGCTATGGGATGTTCTTGAGTATCACACTAAGTAGCAATAGCAATAGCAGTTAGACTTACATACCGCTTCATAGGGCTTTCAGCCCTCTCTAAGCAGTTTACAGAGTCAGCCTCTTGCCCCCAATAATCTGTGTTCAAATATAGG